CATGTTCGTCATCCTCATCGCAGTCTCGACCTGACTGCAGTTCGCCATCGTAACCGACTTAAGTGGGCAAATGCTCACATTCGATGGCGTCTGGCACTTTGGAGAGGTGTTCTTTTCACGGATGAATCCCGGTTTTCACTGTACATGGCAGATGGCAAACAGCGTGTATGGCGTTGTGTGGGTGAGCAGTTTGCTGATGTCAAAGTTGTGGATCGAGTGGTCCATGGTGGCGGTGGTATGGGCAGGCGTATGTTATGGACAACGAACACAGGTGCATTTTATTGATGGCATTTTGAATGCAATCAGCATCTTGATATGCCACACTCTAAAAGAGTGGTCACATGGCCGCAATAGGTGTCCACAGTGCTGCCAGCAGGGGAACTGCCTGAACTGACAGGCAGTCCCCCTGCTGGTGAAAAAAGTTTAAAAAAATAAACGGTAATAAATGTAAAAAAATATATACATCTATACATCTTATATATAACATCATACTAAGTGTATTTTTTTTCTTAATACAAAAATACACTTAGAGTAAAATTACACGTGTGTATATATATATATATATATATTGTGTATAGTTATATTGTAAAACATTAATAATTAAAAATAAATAAACTAAACATGTTAAAAAGTTACATATATGTAATTTTATTCTAACTGTATTTTGATATTTATATAAAAATACACTTAGAATGAATATATATATACATACACACAAATTATACAATACACAAGATCCAACGCACTCACATATCCACTAAACAGCAACTTCAATGTTGAAAGGTTTTATTTGTTTTTTTAAAAACACCTAATCTAGGCAAAAACATTGAAGTTGCCGTTAAGTGAATAGGTGAGTGCGCTGGATCTTGTGTATTGTATCCTCCCCTTGTTTCATATATATATATATATATATATATATTTGGGAGTCTAGCCAACTCCTTGGTTTTGCACCCCTCCCTGTCACAGGTGCCTCATCTCAGGTCCCTTTTAAGCCTTGTACTCCAGAGAGCCCCTGATGGATTTTTTTCCCCGAGTAAGTGGGTTAATCTCATAAGAGCAGACATTAGGCTGTTAGTGTAGGACCTGCCAAAGATGGGGTACATTGACGTTGTGGCAAGCTTATGCAATGTATGATCATATAATGTAACTAAATCCCCAGTATTTTTGCCTAGATTAGGAGTTTTAAAAAAAACAACAAATAAAATCTTTCAACATTGAAGTTGCTGTTTAGTGGATAGGGGAGGGGGCTGGATCTTGTGAATTGTATAATTTGGCCCCCAGCAGCACCCCCATTTATGCATGTTCAGGTGAGTGCAGCCATACCCCCCTTGTTTCATATATATATATATATATCCCCTTAATGACCGTGGACGTACTATGTACGTCTGACAAAAAAGCGGTTATTAAGGACCGCGGACGTACCTAGTACGACCGCGGCAAATAAGAGCCCTGGACTTAGCTGGACCGGTGATCCGCAGCGATCACAGTCGGGGGGTACTGCCGGAGACCCCAGCAGTCCCATTGCAGCAGCTACGGCCACCCCGGCCATCCAGGGCCATGTGATCAACATGATCACATCGCCGCAATAGGAGTCTAGGAGCTGCCAACAGGGGAACTGTCTGAGCTGTCAGAAAGTCCCCCAGGCTCCTAAAAAGTAAAAAAAAAAAATTATATAATATTATAAAATAATTAAAGCATTTTATAATATATTATACATATATATGATTTCATTATGTGTACTTTGAGATATATACATATATATCTCAAAATACACTTATAATGAAATCTATGCATTATACATATATAGGTAATAAAAGTGTGTGTGTGTATATATATATATATATATATACACACACACACACACACACACACACACACACACGTATTATATACATATATTATAAATATATATAACATTTATAAAAAACAAATAAAAACGCTAACTTTGGCCAGTGTTTATGACGAAGTAGCTACTACAAAAGACTGGAAATGCCCCATTTTAAATACCCTGGGTTGTCTACATTTGAAAATGGTATGCCATGATGGGGTTATTTCACATTCCTGGGCTACCATATGGTCTCAAAAGGCAACACAGACCCAGCACACCAATCTGGCAAACTGAATTGGGAAAGACCTATATTGACCCTGTAACTTTCCAAAATACCATAAAACCTGTACATTGGGGGTATTGTTATACTCAGGAGACTTCGCTGAACACAAATATGTGTAAAACCTATCATGACGATGAAATCACCAGTAAAAGTGCAGTTTTTGTGTAAAAAAAATGCAAAAACAATTATGAACGCTAACTTTGGCAAGTGTTTGTGGCTAAGTGGCTACTACAAAAGACTGGACATATCCCATTTTAAATACAGTGGGTTGTCTACTTTTACAAATGGTATGCTATGATGGGGTTAATTTTCATTCCTGGCTGCCATACGGTCTCAAAGGCAACATTTGCCCAGCAAACCAATCTGACAAATTTCAATGTGCAAACATGGAAAAGTCCTACGTTTGACCCCTGTAAGTTTGCAAAAACCCATACACCTGTACATTGGGGGCACTGTTGTACTCGGAAGATGTTGCTAAAGACATATATTGGGGTGTTCTTTGTCAGTAACACATAACATTAACTAAGAATCCATGCCTAAAGTACAATGTGAGAGAAAAATAACACAAAAAATGACTACCCAAAAGTTTGACAAAGACTGGTGGTAGAATTAGTGCATGGAAAGTGTTAAAATACCACCATTTGAAATACCCTAAGGTGTCTACTTTTCAAAAATATATGGTTTGATGGGGGTAAATTACATTGGCCGGCTTCAAATATGTCCCAAATAGGACATGGGTGCATGATGACCAGCTGGGAAAATTCCAAGTTGGAAAACTAGAATGTGCACCCTCCAAATAAGGTATTTTAGCCCTCAGGGAACCCGACACACCTGTACACGGGTGGTATCAGTGTACTCAGGAGATGTTACCGAACACATATTGTGGTGTTCTTTGGCAGTAACACTTAACAGGAGCTGAGAATCCATGCCTAAAGTACAATGTGTGAGAAAAAAAAAAAATTACTTCCCAAAAGGTTGACAAGACTGGTGGTAGGATAAGTGCATGAAAAGTGTTAAAATACCACCATTTTAAATACCCTAGGGGGTCTACTTTTAAAAAATATATGGTTTGGTGGGGGTAACTCGACACACCTATACATGGGGGGATATCAGTATACTCAGCAGATGTAGTTGAACACAGATTGGGGTGTTCTTTGGCAGTAACCCTTAAAGTTCTCCATACAGGTTTTCTTAAATTGCTATGTGTGTCAAAAAAAATCATCAATTATTTATTTTTTTAAATTTGGCATAGATTGGTGGTAAAATGGTTGCATGAAAAGAGTTAAAACACCCCAAAGTTTAATACCTTAGGTTGTCTTCTTTTAAAAATATATACATGTGAAGGGTTATTCATGGATTCCTGACAGATATCAGTGTTACAATGTAACTTGCATAAATTTTGATTGGCTTTCCAAAATGGTTTGGAAATGCTGCTTGGAAATGGTTTGGAAATGCTACTTGTACTTATAGCCCTATAACTTTCCAAAAAAAGCTAAGAACATGTTAACATTGGGCATTTCTAAACTCAGGACAAAATTTAGAAACTATTTAGCATGCGTGTTTTTTGGTGGTTGTAGATGCGTAACAGATTTTAGGGGTCAAAGTTAGAAAAGGTGTGTTTTGTTGCATTCTTTCATCATATTTTATAAAACATTTTTATAGTAAATTATATGATATGATGAAAATAATGGTATCTTTAGAAAGACCATTTAATTGCGAGAAAAACAGTATATAATATGTGTGGGTACAGTACAGTAGTAAAAGGAAAATTACCACTAAACACAAACACCGCAGAAATGTAAAAACAGCCCTGGTCCTTAATGGTAAGAAAATAGAAAAACGGTCTGGTCACTAAGGGGTTGAACACAATGTTTCTGCTTCTCCTTCATTGCATAGTGTGCCCTGGCTGTATCAGGTCTGAACAGGACTGTTAAATAAACTTCTTAATCATTAAAAGGGTCTGTGTACTTGAAATTTGACAATACATTTTAATGCATTCAAAATATATTACCATAAAATGCAGTCAATGGACTGCTTGTTGGGTCTGTCTTTATAATGACTCCAACTCTTAATTAGCCTAGGAATCCCATACCAGATTGAGATGCTGCAATCGGGAGATTTTCATTTCGTCTAGCAGGGAATTATGTAGTAAAGCAATTTATCACAAAAGAAAAGTTTCAGTCATCACAATACAATGGTAGCAACTATACACAGCAATTCCAATGCACAACTCAGAGCATTGCTCTCTCTATGGAGTAAAGAGGTCATTCCCTATTGTGCGTGCAGCATGCTCATGCATATTAAGGCCCAAACTGACAGAGGCAAAAAGTATTCCTGACAGACAGCCCTAGTGAGCATCATATAGCAGCTTAATTTTTCTTTTATAAATTACCGTACTACCCTATAGTCCATAAGTAGTGATGTCCCAAACGGTTCGCCACGGACTCATCATTGAGTAAACTTTGACCCTGTACCTCACAGTCAGCAGACACATTCCAGCCAATCAGCAGCAGACCCTCCCTCCCAGACCCTCCGACCTCCTGGACAGCATCCATTTTACATTCATTGTGAAGCTGCATTCTTAGTGAGCTGTCCAGGAGGTGGGAGGGTCTGGGAGGGAGGGTCTGCTGCTGATTGGCTGGAATGTGTTTGCTGACTGTGAGGTACAGGGTCAAAGTTTACTCAATGATGAGTCCGTGGCAAACCGTTCGGGACATCACTATCCATAAGTAATAGGTAAATCTCAATGTTTTATTCAATGAAGTCATTTCCAAAAAGTGACAGCGTCCTTGTAACCACATTTATTTAAAAAAAAAAAAAAAAAGTTACATTTTGCCATTCTGTTTCTAGAAACATTTTCACAAAAAAATTATTTTCATATGTATACAGAGTTATTTCAATGGCACACATAAAAAAACAATAAGTGTAAGGTAGCAGACCCAGTGACTGATATATCAAACTCAACTGTGGTTACACTCCTTACTAACATTACAAAGCAAGAGAGAGAGGGTTACCTTCATTTTTGTATTATTCTTTATTTTTGCTGTGCATAAAGAATACAAAGAGGCTTGCTATGCCACAACAACTATAGCACATATTTCAAGACATAGAAAGACAGTTGCATGGCTACACATTTTTAAATTATAACATAAAATGAGAGAAAACATGCTGAACTTCTAGTAACGATTCCACCCCAGAAAGCTCTGTGAGGGTTATGTGCAAGACCAGAACAGTGCAGAGCACTGGCAATATAAAAACAAAGAAAAATATAAGGGAAATTAACAGCTATATGAAGATCAACAGGCTAGGAATAGGAGTGGTTTAAAATGTGTAGCTAAAAAATGTTAAATTCAGGGATCACCACACTGCTCGCATGGTATCACGACTAATAGCTCCTACGGCATCCAAGATACCAGACAGCAGCACCATCTCATAACTAGCCGATGCCCAGTCTACAGGGCTACTGTAACCAGGTAGCAAAGTCCACTGTCAGGCATATTATCAAACTGGTAAGTAGGCTTAGGATCTCTTCATGGAGATAGGGTATGCCTGGTGATGTCGGCAGAGTTGCTCTTAGTTCCCTTTGTATTTCCAAGCTAGACCTCAGGACACTGCTCCTTGGGGAACTATGCACAGCTATCACCAGCATGGGCCTCGTCTGGTGCCGTCACATAAGTAGGGTCTGCTCAGGAGAGTTAACCATGGTCCTCTTCTAAATCTTAGACGGCATACTCTGAGGCATGTTGTCGGTCAGGATATCTGTAGCCGCAGGTCGCATGCCGGCAGCCAGCTTTGCCCAAAAGGAGTAGGAGAGCTTATACAATTTGGTCACCACATTTGACTTCACACCGCAGGGGTTGATGAAACATGTGGCGTCTGCCATGTTGTGTGTCACGCTATAGCCTTTTCTAGCAGCATTGCAACACGCTCTTAGTGTAGTGGGAGAGCCTCCAAGGTGTAGACCGGGATCACCCACACTGGTCCAAAGGGCGAGGGGGGGAGGGCAGGGCACCAACCAGCGAGTAGTACAGCTCAGAGCACTCCAGGTGGGAGATCAGCCGCCTCTCCCATCCTCAGGGCACACCAGGCCGCAAATCACTCAGATTTGTCAACCAGAATGTGTCCACTTTGGGTAAGTAAAAGTTGCTAATGGTGAGCTTGACCATGGCTAGAAGCGTCTGTAGTTCTGCTTAGAATGCCAATCGGACAGAAAGCAGCCCAAGAACAGGAATAACATAAACTAAAGCCTCAAGCTCTTTCGGGACACATCTGACAGGCATGGCAGTCAGGCCCCGCTTCCCTTCCCTTCATATTTTATCATTTTAAACCAACTTTTAATTATATCATACTTAATACATGTAGCAGCAGAAACAATTCAATATCTAACACTTATTTTGCAGCAATGTCATGGAACATTATTTTGAAGAAAATTATGTTGTGTCTCGCAGCTTTTTCAGAACCACTTCAAGTGACTTCTTCATGAATGTTTGGTTGGCATTAACTGCATTAGCTAAAAGTCCAATGTGTGAAGGCAGAATCTGAAGAAAAAAAACAACAACAATACTGTGGCAAGAAACAAAACTAACCTTTCATGGGACAAAAAATAATACATTTATAACTAATTAGTATACATACTACCAATGTAAAAATGCATGCATTATTTCTGCATTTCTTTTTCTTTGTTGGTATATCTAACATGCAAAAATACCAGAGTATTGCAGTATGTCTCTATGTTGGTATATCTAAAAACAGCTTGCAAAAAGCTGCAGATCTTTTGCCTGCAGCCTTTACAAACCCTTTTTTCCCAGTGCAGAATTTTGAGCTGCGAGCGGCTCTCCCGTTCATAAACTTCTGTAGTACAGTTCAATAAGAAGTTTTAGATAGAAAGGACACAAAGCTAAAATGGCATCTCTGGATGAGTGCACACTAACAGGGACATTGTGACTTATGGGAGAAGTCAGGCAACTCTAGCAGAAATATGTCTGGCTCAAAGCTGAAGTGGCGTTTCTGCAGTTATGTAAAAACTGTTGTTTTCAAAGAAAATCAGAACTTGATACGGATACCTAAAACATTTTGGCAAGCTGAAGTGCTTTATGTGTGTGGAGTGTTCCTTTAACCATAAGTTTAGATTAAAGGGACATTTCAAACATTATGACAATGGATTATCCATGTATAGATAATAATGCAAGGGTGTCCAATAGTCCTTACCTCCCTGTAGTCAGTTACTTATAGCTGAAATGATTTACAAACATTCCTACAGCTATAAGTCAACCCCCACTCAAATACATCACAGTGGAATCTATCATGTTTATTAACTAAACTCCAAATTTTAGCAAATTAGATCTAAATGAAAAAAACTAATAATAAAATAGCTGTCCTATGACGAGTTGGACAAGCTCAGCCATACCAAAGTAGCCATCTATTCTCATTTTAGCTATTCAGATTTATTTAGGTAAAATGTGAAGTTTCATGTTTAACCATACCAATATTCTTATTAATATAATGCATTTAAAAAGGATTAATCCCTACAATAGCATTTATTTTCCCTAAAAAAAGTTATATTTTAGCAATATAACTGTTCTATGCATCCCTACTCTTTCTATTCCTTTGACAGTAAAACTCTTAATTATATTATCCATTTCTGCCTATTACACCACTTTCTTACCATGCTCTGATTTCGGTTCATGATATTCAGAAGTAGCTTCGAGAACATAACAGATTTGGAGAACATTTCTGCAGCATTGCACATTGAGAGAAGAAGGAGTTCGAAGTCTGAACGAGAAATAGTCACCTGAGAATGAGAGTGATTAAAAAAGAAACAAAGAGAGGAAGGGGCATAGTGAACATATTTGGATGTGCATGGTTTACAAAATAGTTTTTCCCGTCAAAATTCATTTACATAAAACTCCATATCTAGCTAAATGTAAAATGAAGATTCAGTTCAATTATATCCCAGTACATTTGGTAGATTGTAAGGGCTTTTATTACACCAATCACAGAAAAAGCAACAGTTCAACTTATGCAGAGGGCTTTATGAAGTTGACTGTCTCCAGTAAACAATGGACTATGATTAATACAAACTCTTTACATATATGCTAATTAATTGATCTAGGCTGGTGGAATATAAAATTTTAACAGCTAAAAGGGAAAAGAAAAAAGTGTAAAGAATTTCTATGAAATACAGTGCATTTTAATATATTAACTGTGTAGATGTAAAATGGGTGACAGCTTTAAATATAATAACGTGTTTACATATCACCTGTTTTTCCAGTAGCATGTGCAAGACATTGACAGAACCTTCACAAAATGGTATTTTTAAAACAGGGCTGGAAATGAAACAGTAACATTGTAAACAAGTTGAGAATATGCATATAACACAGCTGTGTAATAAATGCAATAAATGAAGAAATATTCGTAATGCTAACTGTGTTTTTCACTAAAGTGAGAATTATACAAGTTAGGCCACAATAGCAAAATTAGAAAAATTCTCAGGGCCATTTAGGTTTTCAGTTTGGCTGTTTTGGCCATATTCACTAGAAATTTCCAGCAACTTCTATGCACGGCCAGACAACACCTCTCACATGGAGTCTCACACCTCTATACCGCGCTGCTAAGCGACGGTGATAAGAGCCCCCTAGGCTTCACATCGCGATGGGAAAGAGAGACCGGGATGGAACTTACGGAAAAGGAATGGCTTAAAATCTTTCAACTAACACACAGGGGGACCATCAGCTCCAAGTTCCAAGAATGCAACTACAAAATTCTAACAGGATGGTACCGGACGCCAGATATCCTGCAGCACGTGCATGAGTCAATTTCAAACGAATGCTGGAGATGCGGCACAGGAATAGGAACCAGCATTCACATCTGGTGGACATGCCCACGTATCGAACCGTTCTGGAGGATGATACATCAGACGACCAAAGACATCACGGGCTCAGACGTCCCATTCCAACCCATGCCACTGCTTCTCAACCACACGCGCACGCCGGTGAAGATCTACAAGAAAGGATCCTCATACACCTACTCACGGCAGCGAAGTCGCTCATCCCACTCCATTGGAAAAGCTCGACGATTCCAACCCTGCAACAATGGGTAGATAGGGTGGAGATGATATATAACATGGAGATGATGACAGCCTCCCTGCAGGGACGCCAGGAAAAATGCGCTTTGGCGTGGTACCCATGGATGGACTACACATCAAAACGGACGGGAGGAGGAGACCCGGTGGAGAGGGACGGCGCCCCCGCACCAACACAACCCACCCAACAGAGCTCTGCACAGACACAGGCAGTGCCAGACGAGTAGATTGCACCCTCAGCACGACGGAGACACACTTCCTACGCGACCCCCCCCCCCACCCCTCCTTCCACATGACACATAGACACACAAAAGACCCGGAGGGACACAACCCCCGGGGGCACGCGGACCGACTTAAGGCTCCGCACAAAGCGGAATCTATGAGAAAGCAGAGACAGAGACGGAGGACCATGGGTCACGGGAGGGGAGGAGTGACCCGCTAGAGCGACATATGGACCAATACACTAGGGGACGGAGGGAAGAGAGAGACTGGGACGCAAGGAACATGGACTCACCCCCACCCCAGACACAAGAAGCCACGACCTGAGCCAGTAGCACCCGGCCCAGACCACGCCAACTAACAACCGGGGCTGCCGCAGGTGGCATACATAACCCCACACACACCGAACCCAGCGAGACCCAAGATAAGAGATAACAACCTAGACTTAGGTATCCAGAAGAGTCACGGGGACCGTGCTACATGCCCCAGGGCTGATATGATCACACCCACCACACGAGCGACTCAAACCAGGGGCCTGAGGAGACGACACGGCATCTGACACAGACCCCACACACCGCACAACGATAGAATAAGACATCACAGGACAACCCTACTTATACTAGCTGCGCCTACGGACAACCCAGGTCAACTACCCCCAGGGAAAACCTAAAACAGATCGACTCAGGGAAACTAGGGGGTAACCACACGGTCACAGGGGCAAAATAATTGGCCCCCTCATGATTTAAGACTGAGCCCATCCACACCAGGCTCATTACGACCTAAACCAACACACAAATCAAACACAAACCAGACTGGAACCCCCATACAAAGCCCTAGACGGTACCCCCCCAAAGAAGGACACACGTAGACAGACATAACACGGATTGGGACAAAGCTCTATACCCATCAACCTGGCACTAGAAACACGAACAAATCACCACGTACGAGGCTGGGGACAAAGATGAACCGCACCACACATAGACAGAGACTACCACAACTCTTAAGTACCATAGGTCACACTAGACCCAATAAGTAAGTGAGGGGAAACCTTGCACTGAGCCAACCTCTCTATTAGGGTCCTACCTACAAATGAGGAAGCTCAGAGACCAATGCAGGGATGCACAACTCCCCCTCTGACCCACGAGCACAACACAGAGCGGTTGAAACAACCCACCCGAAAACACGCACGAATCTTGAGGAGCAACCACAAACTCCATTCGCACCCGACCACAGAGGGGACTAACCCCAAACAGGGCTAACGACAGAACACAACACAAAAGAACGCTCACTGTTATACTGAAGCCAAATACTCAAACACAATTTATTATCCAGTAGTTGAAACCATCTTGATGCTGTAATACACATAACTGACCCGTTTATCTGTTACCACATGTTAATTTATATTGGATATACATGCTGTGATTGAATATTGAAAAACTTAAATAAAGAATGTCAAAAAAAAAAAAAAAATTTCCAGCAATCTCACTTTAGTGAGTAAACCTGTAACTGTTGAAAAAATAAATAAATACTATCACTCACTTACCCAAAACATTGAGGCAAGTGTTCTACCGGAAGGCACTCAGAAACCATTCTACCCAGAAAATCCGTATGCACCGAGCCTACAGTAGTCGCAGAAACAATGGGGAAGATATTTCAATAATTGTTCATTAGTTTAAGGCTATAAAACATTTTACACATATTAAAGGAACACTCCACTTTAAATGATTACTTTGGAGGCTCCCTTGTAAGGTCATTTACCATAGACTAACAGTTTGAATTCAAAGAAAATAGCAAATTTGGGGCTGGAGTAGCCTAACTCAATGTATAGTTATCTTGAAGAATTTTTGCAGTTTACCTATTTTCACTTTCATTTTGAAATTCACTGAGAATTCTAACTATGGCAAATAACCCTGTAAGTCTCACAATCTGTGAAAAGCAGCCCCAAAGCAGTGATCAAACCTGACTTTCTGAAATGTACCGGTAAATATCTTATCATAAGTCCTCTAAATTATGAGACGCAATGCCACTTTTAAGCTCCTTGAGAAATCAATGCCCTTTACCCTGCCCACTGTGATTCACTCATTCTGCAAAGAGCAAATTATAATGAAAGGCCATGGAAAGGCCTTTAATATTCTGTGTTAGGTGCACAGCTCTTTCTGAGTCTTCTTTAAACAGAACAAAAATAAAATCACCCTCTTTCAGATGAAAATGAAATAATTTGCTTTATGAACAGTATTAACATTTATTCTTTTGCTTGTCTTACTCATTTTCACCTTTTCTTTGCCAAAGATTATTGTTAAGAGCTAAAAGGAAGTTTAAGAAATGGATGAATCAGATTTTAAAAAAAGAATCAAAGAGTTATTAAAAACAAGAAAAATTACTGTAGCAAGCAAGTATAATTGGAATGCTTAGTACCTGTGTCAGCCTGTAAGACTAGTGGGCCAATAAGTATGCAGCATGCTGCTTGAGCATACTTCATACAGAACATTGAGAGTGCAGCAAGGATGGGTCTAGGAGCAGGAGCAGTAAGAGAGAGAGCCTAAGAGTATAAAAATAAAAAGACAAAATTAGAGTACAAAAATGTAGGATACAAGGTTTATGTAGTTAAATTGTGCAGCAAATATTTAAAAATGTGATTCCACCTTATACACTGTCACCAGAAGAAAACTGTTGTATTGAAACATTAAAAAGGAACACTCTTGGTACCAATACAACTTTAATAGATTTGATAGGTTTTGGCTGTATTGTTTATATGCACATAAATCCTTCTAGTTTTTGCATAAAAAAAATGAGTTTGGCAGAATGCTGCACCATTTAGCCTTTTCAGCCGCACCTCCCTGCAGAAAAAGACTTAATTATCAAATGTATGCACACAACTCTGACAGTACTAAATAATCAGAACAACAAAGCAAGCTGTGTTAGAAAGAAAGAACACAGAGAGACATATACTAAGGACACCACTAACTGTTTATAGTTTCCCTGACTGCCTGCAGCCAGGTTGTGAATTAAAAGCAGCTCACTCAGTGCTCTTGGGACTGAGATTGTGTGCATACATTTGACAAGGAAGTATTTCAGGCATTAGGGACATTAAGGAGGAGTGCCCCTTTAATCCACATGATATAAGAGCAAGGATGTTCTCAATTCAGCTGAAAAATTAAACATAAACCACACCCATTGTCTAATATAAAAATTATAGCTCTAAAATGACCCAAAATATGGCTAAATAGATATGGGAATCAGCAGACTATCAAGGCCAATTAAATCTGTGTTTGAGTAATTTACCTGTTCCAGGAAAAGACTTCTGGCCAATGCAGATGAGTGTGCATAACTGAGGTCTGGAGTGATAGAATGCAGAATGCAACAGAGCTTGAGGAGAGATTGTGGAGAGATCTGTGAGATGCTCAACTGGGAGAAGATGCTTTGCAGCTGCCAAAATAAAAATTAGAACGGGAAATTAAAAACTATTTAAACTTAATGAGAAATAAAACATGTAAAAAAAATGGAGATAAAAAGAAAAAGATTTACAACAGCAAGTATTTACACCTGTTCTGGACTGCATGACTCACAAAGGTCCTTCAGATCTGCTTGGAATGAATCATTCGATGACTGTAATTAAAAGAAAAGAAGAAAAAAAGAAAAATAAATCAAAGTCAAATGGTTGATCCATTTCCAATGTACTGTTGTAATCAAAATGATTCAACCACCATTGAAAATCAGGTTTATTGTAAAAATGTACAAATTTTCAGCTTTTTGCAATGAACAAATAAAATAAAAGAAATGGAAATAGTTCAACACAACAAATGTTTTAAGTGATTTCCCCAAATTCAACTGAAAATGCAACTGTATTTTTATGCTCTACACTTTTACCTCAGTGTCCAAATCTCCATGTAGAATTTCCTTCAGTTTTGGTATTTGAGCCTTAAAGAATAAGGTAACATGTGTTAGTGGATTGGTCTTTTTAGAGTTGGATATAATACACTGAAAATATGTAAACAAGGAGTGTAAAGTTAAAAAAATGCAGCTTAACATTTTAAGAAGTACAAAACATTTAAACTGTGAATTAACAGCAAGGTTGTTAAACTGAGGCAGGAAAAGCTCAGTTTGAAAAATTCTTCAAATCTGATAGCCAGGGCTCGAGTCCTGCAGGAACGCGTGGGAACGGCGTTCCTGCACTTTTTCACAGCAGGAATGCCGTTCCCGTTGCTCCTGCAGGCACTCAAGGGGCGGCAAAAAATGCCACCCCCAATTGCCCCCTGTGTTTCCACTGTCATGGGGGGGCCCAAGAGGTGGCCTGATTACGCGCCGTTTGCTGATGCCGGGAGCCAGAATATGATGTCATATTCCGGCTCTCAGCATCAGCAGGCAGCCCGCGCGGTGAGAGGGAGCAGAGAGAACTCTGACAGGGAGAGAGGCGCCTGCCGCACTGAAGCCCCACTGGACCCCAGCTCTCCAGGTAGGGAGGACATTTTTTAATTTAAAAAAAATTATAATTTGTGTGTTTCTGTGAGTGTATGTGACTGTGTGTGTGTGTGTCTGAGTGCACGCGTTTATATATGCATACGAGTGTATATTATTTTTGGGGGTGAGGGTGGGGTAATCTTGGGTGAGTTCCCACACTTTATTCCCCAGGACTTGACCCCTACTGATAGCATGTCGAACATTTTACAAATATTTGTTAAAAATAATCTAGGACAAGCTAGGTACATGTTTAAAATACTACTGCCTGCATATTGCCTGTATAAAGGTAAACTACACTGAACAAAATTATAAACCAAAATGTGCAGTTTTATGACACAGCACAATGCCACATATGTCACAAGTTTTGAGGGAGCGTGCAATTGGCATGCTGACTGCAGGAATGTCCACCACAGCTGTTGCCCGTGAATTGAATGTTAATTTCTTTACCATAAGTCGTCTCCAAGGGCGTTTCAGAGAATTTGCCAGTACATCCAACCAGCCTCACAACCGCAGACCACGTGTAGCCACACCAGCCCAGGACCTCCACATCCAGCATCTTCACCTCCAAGATCGTCTGAGGCCAGCCACCTGGACAGCTGCTGCAACAATCGGTTTGCATAACCAAAGAATTTCTGCACAAACTGTCAGAAACCGTCTCAGGGAAGCTCACCTGTGTGCTCATCGTCCTCATCGCGGTCTCGCCTTGACTGTAGTTCGTCGTCGTGACCGACTTGAGTTAGCAAATGCTCACATTTGATGGCGTCTGGCACTTTGGAGAGGTTTAACTGTAGATGGTAGACAGCGTGTATGGCGTTGTGTAGGTGAGTGGTTTGCTGATGTCAATGTTGTGGATTGAGTGGCCCATGTTGGCGGTGGGGTTATGGTATGGGCAGGTGTATGTTATGGACAACGAACACAGGTGCATTTTATCGATGGCATTTTGAATGCACAGAGATAACGTGACGAGATCCTGAGGCCCATTGTTGTGCCATTCATCCACGACCATCACCTCATGTTGCAGCATGATAATGCACGGCCCCATGTTGCAAGGATCTGTACACAATTCCTGGAAACAGAAAAAATCACAGTTCTTGCATGGCCAGCATACTCACAGGACATGTCACCCATTGAGCATGTTTGGGATGCTCTGGATCGAAGTATACAACAACGTGTCCCAGGTCTTGCCAATATCCAGCAACTTCGCACAGCCATTGAAGAGGAGTGGACCAACATTCCACAGGCCAAAATCAACAACCTGATCAACTCTATGCAAAGGAGTTGTGTTGCGTGAGGCAAATAGTGGTCACACCAGATCCTGACTGGTTTTCGGACCCTCCCAATACAGTAAAACTACACATTTTAGAGTGGCCTTTTATTGTGGCCAGCCTAAGGCACACCTGTGCAATATAATCAGCATCTTGATATGCCACACCTGTGAGGTGGATGGATTATCTCGGCAAAGGAGAAGTGCTCACTAACACAGATTTAGACTGATTTGTGAACAATATTTGAGAGAAATTTTAACTTCCTCCCTACTGGACTACCAAGCAACATTTAACCCCACACTAGTTCACCAAGGATTAGAACACTGCAACATTATACACAGCCTGCACACAGAGCCAACACACACATTACAAGCACACACCCCACACATTACAATAAGCCAACAGATACCACGCACAAAACATTAAACAAAGCCATCACACATACCACACACATGGGGGGCACGCAGATAGAGAGACTATGGGTGAGCATCCCACCACCCCCCCTCCCCCGATCCAAAATGCAGGCAGACTCTCTGCACAAGAGATACAGCAACCCCAAAGAAGGTTGAAACAATCGTCCAGGGTTACTGTATCTCTTGTGCAGAGAGTTCCTGCCTGCATTTTGGTTCTGGACTGCCCTTATCAGTCTGATATGCAAATGGTATAGGTTCTCTTTGTAATGGCACAAATAAGTAAAAATAATTTAGAGACCTGAGCTCTCTCTCTAAGCTTTTGCTTGTTCTCACATTCTCTGTTTTTGTTAAAATGTTAGTTAAAACAGGAGCGCATCGGGGGGCGGGGCCGGACCGCCGAGCTGGACGGTCACAAGAATGCACAGCTCTTGCAATTTTCTAAACTTTAAGCCTCTAAAACTATAAATTTCAACTTAAAAGCTGACCAACAGCAAAGACCATCGGCCCAAGGGAGGCACTGGATCCAGGGAGAGGCTGGCTCCTCGAGCTTCAGTCCCTTGGAGGAGGAATCTTTGAAGTCCCAGATGGGGCCTACTCCGGCGGTGAGCGGGGCGGACGGCCGCTGCCCCACTATCCCGCTTAACAATGCCTGACCTGAAGGCCCAGAGCAGAGTGGAACTGGCCCTGTCTCCCCCCCCTCTGGACCGGGGGGGTGATCCCGGTCCTTGCCCTGGGACACCGACCGCTGCAACACAATCAAGGCCCAGCAATGAGACCACCCAGAGCGGCGACCTCGGCACCTCGCCCAAAATGGTGGACGCCATGTGCGCTAACGGCAGAGGAAAGGAATACTCTTCCCCCACGCTCAAGCCTGACAGCACAGATTTAAGCACCAACTGGCCAGAAATCAACAACAAACAGCCACCTGCACGCATTGTAGCACCTCAGCAGACCAGAGGCCGGCGAAGCGAAGGGGGCACAACGAGCCAGCATATCCCCCGCGGAAAAGACAAGAGACACTCCACGGACAAAACCCTACCTTCCAGCCGAGACGGAGAACTGGTCTCCAACGTAAAGAGCCGCACACCCCTACCGAAATGCCAGACAACCTTCCCCAACCTGACATGAACGGGCAGCAAGCACACCTGACAGCCGGCATGCAGCTTGAGAAGCACACAGAGGACACTGGCGGAGCAGAGAATCACCTGGACGTTTTGCCTATGTGCCCTGCTGAATTAAACCTGCACTATATGGGGACTACACAGGCGAGATCCAGCACCAATGATAAACTTACCTCACCAACCGACCGACCTAGAACTCGGCCACAAGGGCCCTCGAGGTGACCATTTTATCTCCCACTGTAAAGCTGCAGTTCTGTCCTTAACTCCTTAACTCTTTTACTCTTACCAGCCACCTGACAGGATAGAACTGTGGCCTGATGTCTCTATTATTATAAAATGATGCAGCTAAAAATTAGACACCTACTAAATGTTGTGCCCTTAGTTTAACTCAGCTCAACCAGTGAGCCTCTGCTAAGCCTCAGTCAGCCACACCACTTTACAGTGTTTTATCTTATATTATTTAGTGAAAGTGCCCCAATCATTTCTGCAGCAGGGCCTGGTCTCCCAGTGGTAATAACAGCTTGTACTAAACTACATCTTCATTAGCCTATTATTATAGCCTGTAATAATGCAAGTCCTTAGCAAGCTATGTCTCAGATCTTACCAATGTGATGTACAACGCTTGGCCATTTCAACAAGTTATAATAAGCATGTATGTAAACGCTGGCGCAGCAATTCACTCTTGTTTTACATTTTCAACCAAAAAATGTGTGCAGTTTCTCCTGACATACTATGTTTATACTTTAAGCCTGTAATCATTTATAATGCAACTTAACTATATGTCATTGTCAAACAATGTTTGTTTCCGCTGCACTCCAAAAATAAAGAATAAAAAAAAACAGGAGCGCATCTTATTTACACAAACTGATTTATAAAACACATGTAGTGTAGTTTAAAGACACACAACTGTTATAAACTCAGACACAACAATAATGTGAAGCTCCTAGAAAAGAGGGACATTAGGACAGAAAATAGGGATTGAAGGATTTGGGTTCCAAAAGAGGTATTGTCCCTCCTAAATAGGAACACTTGGGAGGAAATGCCATGACAACAAGGTGACAGTGGAAAGAGTAACGATAAGGAATATAAAATATAAAAGAGACTACCTTCACATATTCAGGTAGCTCCTGTCTTTCCATCTCAGGTTCTTCCGTGACTACTTTCTGTTCTTCCTGTGAAATGTAGGGGTTTGACAAAGTTACACACAGCTCCTCTGTGCAGACCTTCTTGTTATGGGGCCTGTCATCTCCGTCCAGGAATGAATCTTCGATACAATGCACTTTTCTCTTGTGACGACTAGATGTAAAGTTTTGTTTGAACCATCCAAGTTTTGAGTACTGATCTCTATTCTGACATAATCCTTTGCAAAGGAACTGCAATTGTTCTGCCACCTGTGGACTAGAAGTAGAAATCTGCATTTCTTTGTCTCTAAGAAGGCATCCGCTGAGATATTGTAGCCATTCATCTGAAGAATTTTTGTTTAAAAGAATGGCCTCAGCCAAAGAACGAAGGCATGAGGATGGGACCAGGTGAGCTGCAACATTCAAAAAGCTGAAGAGATTCCTTTGAGACTGTTTTGGAAGGAGAAGCAGTGATGGTTTCCTAAGTAGAAAAAGTAACAATCAAAAATGTATATTAAGAATAACAACTGAGGTACAAATGGGGGCTATTTTGTACCTTGAGGATAAGAGCTACTTTTACACAAACACGTATTATAAACTTATTTATTTATGTCACAGACCACTTAGGGCTTTCCATTTATACCTTACATAAATGTGTAACTTCTAATTTAGCATGGAAAAAGTGAGAAAATCTGGATATGAATGACAGGGTACAAGTGGAGATTGGAGCACACAAAACAACGTATTAAGCTTTGGCCACTGTGAGATAATTTTTTTTTAGTGGGCAGTAAGGACAATAAAGGGAGAAGGACAGTTTACTAGCCTCTATTATCTAGGTATAGATTTTACTTAAAGGGACACTCCAGGCGCCCAGACCACTTCTGCCGGATGACGTTGGTGGAGGAGGATGAGCGTGGGCGGACCCTGACCCAGCGCCGAGGTACATCGGCGCTGGATACAGGTAAGTCACTGAAGGGGTTTAACCCCTTAAGGACCAAACTTCTGGAATAAAAGGGAATCATGACATGTCACACATGTCATGTGTCCTTAAGGGGTTAAACCCCCTTCAGCAACTTGGGATGGGGGGTGGGAGGGAGAGGGGACCTGCAATGCCAAGAAAACGGTTTGTTTTCCTGGCACTGGAGAGTCCCTTTAAAGTACAAACAATGATTCTAATGCCATGTGTGCTGCTAACAATTCCCATCTTGTTGTCACTCCCATGTTGGGAAATGACGGTAAATGTCTGATACTGAGCATACTAGTCTTTGAGCTGTCAGTATCAATATTTACTGTCTATGGACGTTCTGCACGCTGAATGCGATTTCCAGCGTCGCAGAAGCGCCTCTAGCGGCTGTCATGAAGACAGCCACTAGAGGCTGGAGTAACCCTGCAAATAGCAGTTTCTCAGAAACTGCTATTTTTACATCTGAAGGGTTAAAACCTGGGGGACCTGAAACCCAGACCACTTCATTGAGTTGAAGTGGTCTGGGTGACTAGTGTCCCTTTAATAACCTCTGTATTATCATCAAGTGTATGTGTGTCAAAACTGGACAGCAATAACTGAATAACAAGTGTTGGTTTCAGATTGTAAAGACCAAAAGGAAAAGCTCCTGACTGACGGAGCACTTGCCTGTGCCAGTGAAACAGCTCTAAGAATTAAAGGGGAAAATATGTATATATATTTTTTTTTAATTGTAATAATATATTTTTTCATGCATTATCTATTTAATGCACTCACAACTGGGTTTGCTTCCAGCCTGTCAGTAATTAGTGACCAATGCAATTAATATGTGACTTCCACTTGGACAGATAAATCATGTTTGTCAAATAAATTCTTACATAATCAGATCCCCATTTGGTCCAAGAATGGGCACCTCCATACACAGCCTGTCTGTCATGTTTTTCCATGGGATTGGTCCAGGGACTCTCTGCATGGCCCTGAGGGCAGCTAGGGTACCCTGTGGCCCCGAGCTGAGGGCCTGTAATACGAGACGTAGACCTCCCTCCTCACAGCCTGCAATGTCTGGGCACTCCGCCATCTTCACCTGTAAAGTTTTGACATTTATTATTGACACTGGGCACATGTTATAACACTGTATGGCAGAGGAAATGTTAATAAACCACAGTTTATATTTGCAAATCTTTTAACCAGTTACTCATTCCATCCTCCCTCACTGTGTAACCCAACTGATATACAATCCCTATCGCATTATTATACTCACCTAGAAATCACTATAAACTTTCACAAAAGAGTCCGTGACGCCAGGCTGTAGGAGATCTGCCATTTGCAAGCCTGGCACGGTATTGTCCAATAACATTACACCTCTCTTCCTTCTCCGCTCCGAGTTAGGTGAGAGACGCGCTGTGATTGGCTGTAGTACAAGAGGCGGCCTATAGTTGCCAATATTTACAAAAATCCATAAATACATTTCCAGTTCAGGGATGCAAACACAGTGATAGACGATTCACGCACACATACACATTAAGGGACACACGAGAACTAATAGACACACACTCACAGAGAAAGAAGGAAAACAAATATTTGGCACTCCCCCCCTCCCCCCATTTATTTTATATGTTTCTCTTTGTGACTATTGTAAATATTTGTATTAATAACCTTATGTAAGCTTAATAAATACAAATTCCCAACATACATTGTATTGTATATCATTGTCTATATGTGATATATGTACGAGTATCCTCTGGATTGAATGTTGCATAGGTATTTGATGGAGAATAAATAGTTTTACCTATGCAATGCTTAGTGAATAATCCGCTAGACATACAGATATATATAAAGATATAAAGTGTTTGTGACTAAGTGGCTACTGAAAAAGACTGGACATAACCCATTTGCAATACCTTGGCTTGTCAACTATTGCAAATGGTATGCCATCATGGGGGTAATTCTCATTCCTGGGCTACCATACGGTCTCAAAGGCAACGTAACCAATAAGTCGAATTTCCATATGAAAAAACTAAAACACGGCTAGCTGAGCAGCTAACAAGACGTGCTGGTGTGGAGCTCCGGCTGAAACACACTTATTAAGACATCAAATTGCCACGTAATTGCAGCAAAAAGACCTGAAACCCAGATTACTATTGCCCCAGATACCCCCGGCATTGAGATGGGGAGAAAACACAAAAAACTATCCAGCCTGGAGGGCTCCTACCTGCCTGATATCAGACGGTCCTTCGATAGGCCGCAAAAGCAGACACAGCCTAAGATGGCACAGACTAGGAATCGAAGCTCCAGTGAATCGGAGGCATCAGCTAATGCAGAGGACCCCCCTCCGACCACCAATATGGTGTACCGGACAGAAGATTCTGACTCCGACGACTCGCCCTCCACAAAAGGCGATATTAAAAAGTTACTGCTTGATTTAAGGAGGGTGTTGAAGTCAGACCTGGAAGAGGTGCGAACTGAAATATCCGGGATCGCAACACGTCTTGGAACGGCGGAGAACCGGGAAGGGGATAGAGACACACTACTCGTAGAGACCCAAACCCAGGTGACCTCCCTGTCTCAACAACTCCTACGACTTACCCGCACTGTGACCGCGATGGAGGCTAGACACCGTAAGAGAAACGTCCGCATCCGCGGAGCACCAGAAACTGTAGGCCCAGAAGCCTTGCTGGAGTTCACCAACAAAATGGCGATCGCTATGGGTGCTGAGAAAATTGGCGAAACATGGCCCATCACAGCGGCATTCAGGATCCGGAAGGCCATAGCCGCTCCGGCTGACGCACCCAGGGACATTATAGCCATAACCCGGGACATTTCAGTTAAAGCGGCTATCATGGCCCACTCAACGAAAGAGCCTGCCACCACCGTGGATAACATCCAGGTCAAGGTATTTGATGACCTACCATTTACAACCCTGCTTGAAAGAAGAAGATTTCTGCCAATCACCCGGCAGTTGAGAGATCTTGGCATCAGATATCAATGGGGTGTCTCGGGCACCCTAGTAGTCCCACACGGAGACAGAGTTCTCTCGCTATCGGCAGAGGAGGACCCAGAGAACTTTCTGCAGGAGCTCCGACTCCAACAACCCATACCCCCTGGACAAGGGAGAAACAACGCCCCAAGTGTCACCGGCGACAACATTGAACAGGAGAGAAGCCCTGAGATGGCAGCGGTGCTGAGAAGGCTGCGTCCACAGAACCCCCCATAGGACTGTCTGAACGCAGGAGTGCCGATTACACGCTTACCCGATGGACGTACTGGTGACAATTGGGAGAACCAAGCCCATTATAGACCCTCAAGTTTCAAACTTTTAATTACTCGTTGCTTTCAATGCTTTCCACCTTTTGTTTTTCTCTCTTAATTTAATTCTTCCCTCAGAGACGCATACTTGATATCGTACATTCGGAGCCACAGACTCAGACTCCTCGTACCCAATCTTTTCGCCACATGGCCCCTACCTAAGACAGGAGGAGTGACTGGGTAGGGTGAGCGATACAGGGAACAGGGGAAGGGGGGGAGGGGAGGGACCCACCACACTGCAGGGACCCACGACACAGCAAGGCTGGCCACATAACAGCTCTTTAAAGGTCAGTCGACACCAAGACTCATATAGACCATCTGCCTCACCGAGACCGATAGACGTCCCACAGAGAGACACAGGAACACAGCGAGCACAACCTCACTCTTAGGCTACAATATAGCAATTACAAGCGTGCTATAGTTTATAGTTAAAGTACAAC